ACTCGCCCACCCACTCACTCACTCACTCACTCACCCACCCACCCACTCACCCGCCCACCCACTCACTCACTCACTCACTCACCCACTCCCACCACTCACTCACCACTCACTCACTCACTCACCCACCCACCCACCCCCACTCACTCACCTCACCCACCCACCCACTCCCTCACTCACTCACCCACCACCCACTCACCCACTCACTCACTCACTCGCCCACCCACTCACTCACTCACTCACTCACCCACCCACTCACTCGCCCACTCACTCACCCACCCACTCACCCACCCACCCACTCACCCACTCACTCACTCACTCACCCACTCATTCACTCACCCACCCACTCACTCACTCACTCACTCACCCACCCACCCACTCACTCACTCACTCACCCACCCACTCACCCACTCACTCACTCACTCACTCACCTACCCACCCACTCACTTACTCGCCCACCCACTCACTCACTCACTCACTCACCCACCCACCCACTCACCCGCCCACCCACTCACTCACTCACTCACTCACTTACTCACCCACCCACTCACCCGCCCACCCACTCACTCACTCACTCACTCACTCACCCACTCAACTCAAACACCCACCCACCCACTCACTCACTCACTCACTCACCCACCCACTCACCCGCCCACTCACCCACCCACTCACCCGCCCACTCACTCACCCACCCACTCACTCACTCACTCACTCACCCACCCACTCACTCACTCACTCACTCACTCACTCACTCACCCACCCACTCACTCACTCACTCACTTACTCACCCACCCACTCACCGGTCCACCCACTCACTCACTCACCCACCCACTCACCCGCCCACCCACCACCCACTCACTCACTCACTCACTCACCCACCCACCCACTCACTCACCCACCCACTCACTCACTCACTCACTCACTCACCCACCCACCCACTCACTCACTCACTCGTGCATCACACATTCCATCAACAAGACCGAGGCCCTCCTGATTGACTCCCGTCAGCGCCTCCTCACCTCAGGCGCTGACAGCATCACCATCCATGGGGCTCACTCCCCCTCACTGAGCCAGTCCGGAACCTTGGCATCCTGTTTGACCCTCAACTATCCTTTCTGCCCCACATCTGCTCCATGACCCACTCTGCCTTCCCCCACCTCTGCAACGTTGCCCGGCTCCGACACTGTCTCACACCGCAGGCCGCAGGAAACCCTCATACACGCCTTCATTACATTGAGACTTGACTATGCAAACTCCCTGCTTGTCAGCCTCCCCAACTCCTCCCCCCACAGCCTGCAGATTCATAGATTCATAGAATGTTACGGCACAGAAGGAGGCCATTCGACCCATCGAGTCTGTGCCAGCTCTTTGACAGAGCAAGTCACTTTCACTAACCCCTGCAGCCCGTGTCCTCTCCCGCACCAAACTCCGTGTCCCTATCACCCCCATCCTCACCCAACTCCACTGGCTTCCCATCACACAGAGGATACAGTTCAAGATCCTGGTTCTCACCTTCAAAGCTCTCCATGGTCACTCCCCACTACCTCTGTGACCGCTTAACCCCCTACCATCCTGCCTGCTCCCTTTGCTCAGTGGGCTCCAGCCTGCTTCACATCCCCCGCCTTGCCTGCCCCACCTTTGGTGGGTGGGCCTTCAGCCATTCTGCCCCCACCCTCAGGAATTCTAACCCGCAGTCCCTCCGCCTCGCACCCTCCCTCGCCTCCTTCAAGACCCATCTCAAGACCCTCCTCTTCAACCATGCTTTCGATCTCCCTGCTTCCCCCCTATCCTCCACCTTCCCCAATCCCCACTCCCAGCTTGGGTCCGAAACACTGACTGTCCGGCGCCTTGGGACGTCCTCTTGACATGAAAGGTGCTTCACACATATAATTTTGTTGTTGTTGTTAATAAACATGGTTCCAGGTTGGTTCCACCTCTTAACAAATCTCTGTTTAACTTCTCCATCGACTGTTTCAGTGGTTACCTTAAATCTGTATTTGTGTTCTTTGACGTTAGNAAAAAACAATGTTAGTGTCAGCCTGGGTCAGTCCTGAGCCAGAAGGGGGTTGGATTCAAGCTCCACGTTGGGGCTTGGAATCACACAGTCTCAGCTGACGCTCCAATGCAGTGCTGGGGTGGGTGTTGCATTGTTGGAGATGCCGTCCTTCAGATGAAATGCTAAACCAAGGTCCCGTTCAGTTGGATGTTAAAGATCGCGCGGTGCTATGGGAAAAGAGAAGAGTTTTTCTCTCCTGGTGTCCTGGCCAACAATCCCCCAAATAAAATTGCTCACTCACTGCATTGGCTGTTTGTGGGACATTCATTCACAAAATGCATAGTCACTACACTTTACAGTAACAACAAAACAACTTGCATTTATATAGTGCCCTTCATGTGGGATGGCGTCCCAGAGTACATCCTGTGAAGCACTTTGAGATTTCGCAAAGACGTGATCAGGCGTTCTCGCAAAGGCAAGGATTATTATTAATACATTTACATTTATACAACCTCTTTCATGTCGGGAGCTTTAGATGACTTACTGGAAGTCGGAGCTGGTGGGGGAGGGGAGGGGAGGAGGAGGGTGGTCAAAGGACAAAGTCAAACAGATAGGTATTTGGATGTCCTAACACACTGAGCCACTGTGCTACTCTCTGCCATGCACTTTGTTTTCCTTTTTATTTTGAATCAAAGTCCAACAACTTGTACAGGCAAAACATCACTGGGAACGGATCAATATCCCTGCGACACCAGGGCCACGTTACAGTGCGCCATGAGCCCAGCAAAATGCCATGTGTTTGTTAATAATAATATTCCTCCCATTTAGTACAGCCCCTCATCACGTCCTCGAGACGTCTCAAAGCGCTTCGCAGGATATACTGTAAAGTGAATTGATTATATTTTGTGAGTGAAACACAGCAGCCAATTGTGTCCGGCAGCGTCCCACAAACAGTCGTGAACTCAGTGACCAATTTATGATTATGATTATTTTTTGAAGGGATTATTACCTGTGTGGCGCTTTGAGACATCTCGACGACGTGATAAGGCACTGCATCAAATGCAAGGATTATTATTATCAAATAAATAAATGTGAGAGATCACAACGACAACAAGATTACAATTTGTATAGCGCCTTTCGCGACAGGAGGACGTCCCAAGGCGCTGACTTTTTCTGTCTGGAGTTCTCACACCAATTATTTGTCCTGTGGAGTCCTGTGGCTCAGTGGTTAGAGCCCTCGCCTCGCAAGCGAGAGACCTGGGTTCGACTCCCTGGGCAGAGCGAAACCTTGGGCAAGTTTCCTCGCTCCACACGCACGCCTCTGCCTGGCACAAAGCAGGAACCTGGGTGTTAGGCAATTTCCTTTGGGGGTAATAGTCCCTTCAAAACAATAAGAACGATAATAATGCGGTCGCTCAATCCACGACTGTTTGTGGGGGACGCTGCCGTGCGCAGTCGGCTGCCGCCTTTCGCCCACGAAGTATACTTTGCACGACATCCTGCGAAGCGCTGTGAGACGTCACGAAGACGTGATGAGACGCTGTAGCAAATGCAAGGATTATTCATTCTATTCGGGGCTGCAGAGATTTGTCAGGGAATCTGGTCCGGCCCCCAGGAATCTGCCTCTCAGCCTCTCTGATGGCCAATGATCCAACCTTTCCCTTTGACTCATGTGATGCGGTTCCCAAGGGTGGGAGTGGGGGGTGGGAAGGAGAGAGAGAGAGAGAGAGGAGGAGGAGGAGGTGGGGGAAGGACCTGGAGTTCCCACACACACAGCAATGAACAGGGATCCATCTCAGCTCCAAACACTGCGTCTGAGCCTAAATCCACAACGATAGAGAGAGAGAGTCTCTCTCTCTTCTGTTTCTCTCTCTATCCCTCTCCCTCTCTCTCTCTCTCTGCTCTGTGCCTCCTCTCCAGTTGCTAATTCCCTTCCTCCGCAGACAGACAGACAGACAGACAGACATTTGGGATTTTTATTGAAGAGGAGAGAGAGAGAGAGAGAAAAAAACCTGGAAAAATCATGGCTTTGGAAGACAAACTGCGTTTGGGATTAACTGGACTGTGAGAGTGTGTGAGAGAGAGAGAGAGAGAGAGACGTCTCTCTTCTTCTGTCTCCTCTAAAAAGGTCTCTTTCTGTGTCTGTGGAGAGTCAGAGAAACCCGAAAACAGGGAAAGCGACAAGAAAACAGCAACTGACCATCGCGGACACCGAACTCCCTCTGTCTCTATCCCAAAAGCCCTGTGTGATTCGTACCCAAATCCTTGTGTCTCTGTGTGTCTCTCTCTCTCTCTGTGTCTGTGTCTCTCTCTCTCTCTGTGTCTGTCTCTCTGTGTCTGTCTCTCTGTGTCTGTCTCTGTGTCTGTGTGTCTGTCTCTCTCTTTGTGTGTCTGTCTCTGTCTGTCTCTCTGTGTCTGTGTCTCTCTCTGTGTCTGTCTCTGTGTCTCTCTCTCTCTCTCAGTGTCTGTCTCTGTGTCTCTCTCTGTGTGTCTGTCTCTCTCTCAGTGTCTGTCTCTGTGTCTGTCTCTGTCTCTCTCTGTGTGTCTGTGTGTGTGTCCCTGTGTGTGAGAGAGAGCTTCACTCCCTGTCTCACTCTAACCTGACTTGTTTAGTGTGTGTTTTGGAGCTGTTTTTATTGCACATCTTTTGCACACAATTCCTGCCTTTTTGAGGGGCTTTAAATTTTATTTTGCATTTTGCAAAAAAAACCTCCTCCTCCTCCTCCTCCTCCTCTTCCTCCTCCTCCTCTTCCTCCTCCTCCTCTTCCTCCTCCTCCTCTTCCTCCTCCTCCTCCTCCCAAAAAAAATCCTTATCATCTATTTCTCCATCACCTCTCTCTCTCTCTGTATCCATCTCTCTTCCCGGATATATATTTATTTTCCCCATCGCCGGTGGAGTGTGTGACTGCAGTGGGGACTGAAGGAGAGGAGAGGAGAGGAGAGGAGAGGAGGAGGAGAGGAGAGGAGGAGAGGAGGAGAGGAGAGGAGAGGAGGAGGAGAGGAGGAGAGGAGAGGAGAGGAGAGGAGAGGAGGAGAGGGACTGAGGGTGGACCTGAGTGACGGGTTTGGATGTTGAAGATGGAGACGGGAGGGGACCGGGAGTGCGGTGCTCTCGGAGGGCTATTTCAGGCCATCATCAACGACATGAAGGTGAGCGGATACCGTGTGACTGAGCGGTGCCGCGGGGTCGGTCCGTGGGAGTGTTATTCCACTCAGAGCGGCACCACAGTGCACACTCACAGTGCACACTCACAGTGCACACTCACACCGTGCACACTCACAGTGCACACTCACACCGTGCACACTCACAGTGCACACTCACACCGTGCACACTCACAGTGCACACTCACAGTGCACACTCACATACTGCACACTCACACCGTGCACACTCACACCATGCACACTCACATAGTGCACACTCACACCGTGCACACTCACATAGTGCACACTCACACCGTGCACACTCACATAGTGCACACTCACAGTGCACACTCACAGTGCACACACTCACAGTGCACACTCACACCGTGCACACTCACACACAATACAATCACACACAATACACTCACACAGTGCATACTCACACCGTGCACACTCACACCGTGCACACTCACATCGTGCACACTCACACCGTGCACACTCACATCGTGCACACTCACATCGTGCACACTCACAGTGCACACTCACATAGTGCACACTCACAGTGCACACTCACAGTGCACACTCACATAGTGCACACTCACACCGTGCACACTCACACAGTGCACACTCACAGTGCACACTCACACAGTGCACACTCACACAGTGCACACTCACAGTGCACACTCACACACCATGCACACTCACAGTGCACACTCACACCGTGCACACTCACATAGTGCACACTCACAGTGCACACTCACACACAATACACACTCACAGTGCACACTCACACACAATATACACTCACAGTGCACACTCACACACAATACACACTCACAGTGCACACTCACACACTACACACTCACAGTACACACTCACACACGGTACACACTCACAGTATACACTCACACACAATACACTCACACAATACACACTCACACAGTACACACTCACAGTGCACACTCACAGTACACACTCACACACAATACACTCACACAGTGCACACTCACAGTGCACACTCACACAGTACACACTCTCAGTGCACACTCACAGTGCATACTCACAGTGCACACTCACACTGTACACACCCACACAGTGCACACTCACACAATACACACTCACACAATACACTCATACACAGTACACTCACACAGTACACACTCACACAGTACACACTCACACACAGTACACACACAGTACACACTCACACACAGTACACTCACACAGTACACACTCACACACAGTACACTCACACAGTACACACTCACACACAATACACACTCACAATACACACACACAGTACACACTCACACAGGACACACTCACACACAATACACACTCACAGTACACACACACACAGTACACATTCACACACAGTACACACACAGTACACACACACAATACACACACACAATACACACACACATTCACCTGCACAATATCTACACACACAATATACACACGCACACTATATATGTACACACATTCACAATATATACACATACAATATACACACTCATACACACTATATACACACACATTCACATGCACAATATGTACACACAATATACACGCACACAATATATACACACATAATATACACACACACTATATATACACACGCACAACACACACACAATATATACACACACATGTGTACACACATGTGTGCACACACACACTATATACACACACATGTTCACACGCAATATACACACACATTATACACACTCACACTAACCCATACCCACACACACACAGAGGAGATAAACGGTCACCCCCCCCCTCCCCCCCCACACTCTTTTTTCTCTTTCTCAGAAAATCCATCCCTGCTTTTTTTTGCAATGTTATTTTATCTCTGCAGTCTTTTCAGACCAAGAAGGATGGTGTGGTGGCAAATGATCAAATGAGCTGTGATTAATAATAATAATAATAATTGTTGGATTTGTTATAGTGCCTTATCACGTCTTTGAGACGTCTCAAAGGGCTTCACAGAATATGCTGTAAATTGTAGTGACTGTGTTTTGGGGGCGAATTGAAGTGAAATCGAGATTTAATGTAAAATGAAAGGACTTTCATTGTGTGACACAGAGCTCTGGGCTCAGACACTGTGCTGTGGTGTGAGCTGTGTGTCGGGGGCTCTCAGCTGCGGTTATTTTTAATTGTCGTTTAGAAAAATGTCATCCGTCTTCTTGCAGTTGTTACTTTAGGGAAATGTCATTGTGTGCTGTATGTTTTGTGTATGTAGCTCATTACTTTTGTGTGTATATTTGGTGTGCGCATTGTACATTGCATGTGCGTTGTGTGTGGTGTATAAATAATAATCCTTGCATTTGATATAATAATATAGCGCTTTATCACATCTTCGAGACGTCTCAAAGCATGTGAGTGTATTGTGTGTGTGCGTGTGCGTGTGTGTGTGTGAACTATATTCTGTGTGTTACTTGTGCTTGTCTGAAGCTGATGAGAGCGATCAGGGGTTTGTTTGATAGCTCTGTGAGGTACCGGCAGGAAGAGTGTAAGCAAGAGGCTGATTTGTGCTGTCACGAGCAGCGAGCGAGGGAATGCAAGCAGAGGTCGAGGGCTGTGTCTCTAAAACAAACAGTAAATAGCCACAGACAGAGAATAGGATTAGCCGCCAATCGAGGCACTTTTGTTGCTGTATTATGAATTGAGAATCAAATTGTGTATTTTAAAGTAAAAGTCCCTCTCCATCGCGTGTCAATGTTCTTGCAGCAGGAATGTATACAGCTGTGTGCAATGCGACTGTGTTGGAACAATGTGTGTGTGCGTGCAGTGTATAGATGGACAGTGCGTCTGCTTATATGGAATTATTAACCAGTTGGATAGGATTGAGGGTTATTATTTCAAAGATGTGTGTGATAAGGCGCTATGTCAAATGCAAGAAATATTCTCTTATTGTTCGTGAATAGCTTTAACGTTTCGATGCATCCATTAAACATCGGGAGGATAATCCATCAGTAATTTGGGAATGGAATGAGACATGCCATCGGAGGGTGTGGTGTGTTGGTGTGGGTGTGTGTGGGGGTGGAGAGGGGGGTTGAAATTGGTCAGTCTCCACACTGCCTTGAGACATTAGGCGCTCACTCACTTATTCATTCACTCACTCGTTCACTCACTCAGGTGCACTCTCACTGCCTTGAGGCATTCGAGCCCAAGCACACACCAGACTTCCACAGGATGGGTTCCGCAGGAGGGGGCAGAGGGGCAGAGAGGGGGTGGGGGGCAGAGAGGGAGAGGGACAGAGGGGGGGTGAAGAGAGTGGGGGGGGGCGCGGAGAGTGGGGGGTGGAGGGAGACAGGATAGAGGGGAGGGAGGGAGGGGGAGGAATGGGGAGAGGGAGGAAGAGGGAGGGAGGGACGATAGGGAGCGGGAGAGGGGGGAGAGGGAGTGGGAGAGGGAGGGAGGGGAGCGAGGAGGGGGACAGAATGTGTTCTCCCAACCTTCATCTCGATATCCAATTAATGTTGGCATTTCAGTTAGCTTTGCGAGGGAGTGATGTCTCCAATTTGATTGTGATTTGGTGCAAGAATCGCACGACGTACAAACGACAGCGGAGATTTCAACATATGCATAAAATCGTCAGTTTATGCACAAATTATAGGAGACGACTGCTGCGGAAACACCAAGGGTGTTTATGCTGCAGTTGCAGACCGTCACTATTGCCTATTTGATTTTAGACGCTCACACAATGGACAGGCAAGCGTCCTGCAATCTAGGTGAAATCTGTGCGCAAACTGCACTCGATCTATGCACAACCTCCATGTAATGTCCATGAAATCTGTGTGCAATTACGTGAAATCTTCATGCCGCTCGCAACCAATTTACGTGCAAACATCCAAGGAGCCGGCACAGGGCACGATGGGCCGAATGGCCTCCTTCTGTGCTGTAAGATTCTCTGATTCTCTAGTTTACATTATGTACTTGAGTGGGGGAGGAAATTGAGGAGTGCAGGAGACGGGAGAGGAGGGATAGGGGCTCACATGGAACATAAACACCACCATGACCAGTTGGGACAAATGGCCTGTTTCCGTGCTGCAAGCAACCAAGAGAATTCTATGTATAACTACAGGAAAGCTACAGACACCTTCACACCATCTACATGCAAATGGAGGGTAGTGAGTTTTTGGATTGCACCAATACACTGGACCTGGTTGGATGGAACCAGTGGGCTGTTGCAGGAGTAATGTCCCCCTGTGTTTTTATTGGATCTGCTGGAATATGCCTTCAATTGGGGCTAAATGCCTGAGAGTGTGCTGTTCTGGGTCCTTTTAAAGGGACACTGGCTCACTGTGTGCCCTCCACTACAGCCTCAGCCCAGGGCTGCCCTTTAAGAAGGATGACATCTCTGTGGATTTACCAGATTGATGCCCTCCAGCGTCGCAAAGAGCAACCAAACTACCACCCCCCCCCCCCCCCCCCCATCCCGGTTCCTAGGGAAACCATTAACAGTTCAGCTTTTCACTGGAGCTTCCCATATTTACTGCCAATATTTACCCACCAGGTTCTTGGAGCTGAGTCAAGTGGGAGCTGAAGAGCATTGCGATTGGGTGAAAGAGGTACCCGTAGACAAGCCAAGATACTGCCCACCTCCCTGGGAGTTCGATGAGGTTGCAAAGGCTGAGATATAGAAACAAGAGGAGGCCATTCAGCCCCTCAAGCCAGTTCCGTCATTCTATAAGATCATGGCTGATCTGTACCTCAACTCCAATGACCAGCCCTTGCCCCGTATCCCTTGATGATAATAATAATAATAATAATAATCCTTGCATTTGATATAGTGCTTTTCACGTCGGGAGGACGTCCCAAAGCGCTTCACAGAATACACTGTAAAGTGAATTGACTGTATATTCAATTCCAGGCAGAGGGTGAAACCTTGGGCAAGTTTCCTTACTCCACACACCTAATAATAATCCCTCCAAAACCAAAAATAATAATAAATTGGTCATTTTCAATCCATGACTGTTTGTGGGACATTGCTGTGCGCA